CTGAAAAGTTAGCTTATATGATAAAAATGTTTGGTAAAATTAGCTGATAAGCTAGCTGGAATAAAAAATCCAACTAGCTTATTTGAAAAGCTACCTAAACAAGCTTATCAAGGCTATGTTTGGTGAACCAAATAAGCTAGCTTATAGCTTATTTGGTTAGCTTATAAGTTTCATTTATTCAAATAAGCCCCGTCTGGTAGGACGAGCTTATTTAAAAAGCTCGAGCTTATTTGATAAGCTTGTTTAGGTAGCTTTTCAAATAAGCTAGTTGAATTTTTTATTCCAGCTAGCTTATCAGCTAATTTTACCTAACACTTTTATCATATAAGCTAGTTTTCCAGCTATAAGTCATAAGCTATAAGCTATAAGCTCGAAAATGTCATATAAGCTATAAGCTAGCTTATCAGCTATCAGCTAGTTTTACCAAACATAGCCCAAATAAGCTCGTCCTACCAAACGGGGCTTATTTGAATACAAGAAGTTTATAAGCTAACCAAATAAGCTATAAGCTAGCTTATTTAGTTTGCCAAACATAGTCTAACAGTTTTCAATTAGTCGTATAATTTAGTGGTGGGATTTTAAAATTGGGTACTGCAGAATCGAGCTGAATCAAATTGAACCGAAAAAACCCGGTTCGATTCGGTTATCAACTAAAATTTTGTTAATTCTCTGGTTCGGTTCCTCCGATAAAAATTGGTTCTCGGTTTTCGGGTAAAAAAAAAAAATACCTACTAAATACTAATAACTGATGAACCGGATATATGTATTATTGAATAAATGGGTTTGGCACCTAGCCAATTATTAATTTGAATACATGTATATTTTTGAATATGTATATTATTGAATAAATGGGTTTGTCACCTAGCCCAATCATTAACTTTTTATTATTATTATATAGGAGGCCCATATGACAATTCTTTACTTCAGCCCAAGTAGAATAAATTGGCCCACTTAAAATATATTTGCAAAATAAATATGTATATTTGTCTTATCCAATTCATTTCACTCTTCAATTCATTCTCAAAAGGCAGCCCTCAGTTTCTTTCTACCTTCTTCGACTTCGAGTCTTCGACCCTAATTCAGTTCAAAAAAAAAAAAAAAAAAATTAAAAACCAATTCACAACTTAATTTATTTTTTCAATTCGGTTCAAAATGAAAATATCAGTTTATTCTCGCCTTCTATGAATTCTACAGAAACCCTAATTCTTAAATAAGTCTATTTTTTCTAATTCCCAACCTTCGAGCTTCGAGTTGAACCATCCTCAGTTCTCGGCCTCTTATTCCTAGCAAGCTAGTGATTCAGATAAATCGCAAAAAAATCAAAGCGAGGGTAAAAATTTAAGGAAATTGTCGATGCCAGCAAATTCACATAACGAAAAAAAAAAAGCAGTTAACACTGGTTATTTTAATTTTTTTTGGTTAATCGAAAACCCTGAAGAACATGACCGAAAAAAGTCGATTCGATTCCAATTGGGTTCTTGGAAAAAAGGTACTACCCGAACCGAAATTGAAATTTTACATATGTTTGATTTAGATTCCTACGAATTTGGAGGATAATGGGATATAATTTTGGTACGTCAAAGACCTCCGACCGTCTAAAAACGGCATGATCTCGAGCTCCTCAGCAGGTTGAATGCCTTTGGTCTGCAGAACTCTCACACTGGAGGATTTTCCGGTGAAAAGCCTTCGATGCTTAAGTTACCACTTGTGGAAGATGAAGTGCAGTATATTAATGTATGTAGAGAGTGTAATGTATTTTAGGGGATGCTAACTCCGTTATATATAGAGATAATACATTGTTGCCCAAGTCTGCCCGTAAGGGCTGCCCAGACTGCCCGTTCATACTGCTCGAGCTACCTGGACTGCCTAATTATGTTAAGCCACGTCGTCCTATCCATGTGGGGCTTTAATCCTCACAATATTCATTCTTATCCTTTAGTCTTCTTCATTAGACGGTCTAACTGTACGACCGACCCTGATTACCTCGAGGTAGAGTACCACTGATGTCGAGATCTACCGTTATGCCCATATGGTCAATCCTTCAACCAGATGCTCCTTTAGGTCGAACTTCAAACAAGCCATTCGAGGACCCTAATTCGACCTGCTCGTATGTTCTGTGTTCTAGACATCTTCTTCGACCTAGGTCTCCTTCGGCCTATGAAGTCCTCATTCTTCGTTCGATCTGACGGCATGACATGCGTCATATTTACGTGCATTTTATAGTGATTTTCGTGTCCGTTTCATCGTAGTTTGATATATAATTAGTTATTGTTTAATTAGTTATTGTATAATTAATTATTTATTTAATTAATTTTTTTAAGCTATGATGAGGTGTTTTATTTTAAGTTTTAACAGGAAATGTGGCTGAAATAATTTTTGGAGTCGAAAGCGATAAGAATGGATCGATTATGATGTGCGAGCCGTGTATTGAGACGAATCCAATTGCAAGGCCTTATTTATGAGAAGGAATTCAGCCCTTAAAGTCCACTAAAGGCAGCCCAATGTCCATTTACTGGCCCAGTTGAGATTAGTATGTAATGGGTTGGCCCAAAAGCAACTAAGTGGGGGGTATAAGAGTAATTTTGAAGTGTGTCATCTTCTTCCTCATATTTCACGTACGTAAGGAGTCCATGAGCAGCCATTTAAGTTGCTGCCAAAGCTTCGACCGAATACCACTCGCCACCGTCTCTTTGGACGCTTGAAAACCGAACTCCGCCACCTGCTATGAACACCAGGCCGTTCTCCGGCGCCATTCTGTCACCAAAGAGAAGAAGCTGCTTCCGCCGGGCTGAGGAGAGCTGGCCAGAAAACGCCATGTCCGGCGACCTGGACATGTTTTTATCACAGGAGATTGACTTAGACGCGGGAATATAGAACAGAAGACATGAGCTGTGCGAAAAGTGAAGATTTTAGGCGCCCAGGTACACACGGGTCGTGTGACGTCGGACACGACTGATGAAGATCGTGTGTCTCGACTGTCGACAAGCCGCTCCCGCGCCTTAAATCGCTCGATAGGTGTTAGGAAGTCGCACACTCGCAGCCTTTCTAACGAATATAATTGCAATAGAATTTTGGTGAAAAAGCTAAAGCAAAGAGAGAATGAACAAAAGTTCTTGATTTCTATTAATTCTTGGATGATTCAATAATCAAAAATAACATAGGGGACATGGGTATTTATAGGAGAAAACTAAATCTAATTCTAATCTAACTAGATCTCCTAAACTGTGCAGTAAATAATCCCTATTCCAACTAAATCTCTAATTAAAGTAATTAAATATTAAATATCCTAAACAATCTAGATATTATTGTGCAAGAAATAAACTAAATATCCTAGAGTCCTTAATTGACTAGATCTTGATCTTGCTTGGCTTGCACTCCAAACAATTCCAATCCACACGCCTCACATAATATTTCGGCCGCCTTCGCTCGCACGCCTACTCCTTTTCGCGCGCGGCTTCGCACGCGTGCACCCCGCACGCGTTGTCCACTATGCCTAGTCCTGTGCGGCAAAGGTCATCCGCGCTTGCTCCACAATCGCACCTGTCAGCTTGCACCATGTGCTTGTCGCCTGCTCCTCGCGCGTGTGTGTCCCTGCCCGCTATTCTTACGCCTATGTAGAATAGGCCATCGTC